CGAAACAAATAACATAAGAAAAACACTAAAAATATCATATGAGAAGTATGTTTTATTATGTAAACAAAATGATGATCGTAATGGTGATGAACATCTAACTGCATCATACAAACTTTAGTACAACAGCTTCTACACTGTAGTACAGTAAAACAATCACGTTACATGTACATTGTGTATATTTCATATTGGTATTATTTCTTTACTTTCTTATATATATGTATGTATAGACAGACATAGATTCTCGTGTAAACAAAGAGATAGAATGAAAACATGTATCATAGGACAACAATGGAATATTTCAGATACTATAAAATCTAAATTCTTCGTGGGATTCATTCTTCCTTGATTTTTTTCAAAAACTAAACTTTTTCATCTTCATTTGAATTCATGCGCAAATAGAAATATATTCATACTGATTTGATCAGTTAATTTATTAACGGACTAAAAAAAATATGGATTATTTAGAATGACCAAATCAATGAAAATTAGTTATCCACGAAAATTGATCGGATTTTACAATATATTAAGAACTTCTAAGTAAATAAATCATGAAGGATTTCTATATTCAAATGTTGAAGAATATTATTAACGTAAATTATTCGTCGTTTTCTGTATTTAAGATAAATTTGAGGTATTTTCTTTTAAGATATTCTTCGAATTTCTAACTTCTTTACGAGATGAGCCGATGAGTCTGGGTCGGGAATATTTTAATTCTTCTTGTCGTATCGAACTTTTCGGATGATTTTTCTGGCCGCTTTGTCCGTTCTGTACACTTCTAGGGTGGGGCGGTTTCCAGAACTGTTCGATCGGACCTTGACGGTTTGTTTCCCGAGACGACCCTGTAAACCCACTAGTCCGTCCTAGATGGAAACAAAATGTGAGCTGAGTTAAACAACAAACATGCAATTAAAGACTATCGGATATGAGTTGCAGAGTCACATATACGGTCCAGGATATACTAGATTTTCACAATACTCTCCTATAAAGGTTCACAAAGTTAAGCCCTGGACAGCACTGGTAACTGAAACATGATATAGCATCACTGACTGGTCCTAAAGGAGTGAAACAGCTATATGATATAGCATCACTGACTGGTCCTAAAGGAGTGAAACAGCTATATGATATAGCATCACTGACTGGTCCTAAAGGAGTGGAACAGCTATATGATATAGCATCACTGACTGGTCCTAAAGGAGTGAAACAGCTGTATGATATAGCATCACTGACTGGTCCTAAAGGAGTGAAACAGCTGTATGATATAGCATCACTGACTGGTCCTAAAGGAGTGAAACAGCTGTATGATATAGCATCACTGACTGGTCCTAAAGGAGTGAAACAGCTGTATGATATAGCATCACTGACTGGTCCTAAAGGAGTGAAACAGCTGTATGATATAGCATCACTGAATGGTCCTAAAGGAGTGAAACAGCTATATGATATAGCATCACTGACTGGTCCTAAAGGAGTGAAACAGCTATATGATATAGCATCACTGACTGGTCCTAAAGGAGTGAAACAGCTATATGATATAGCATCACTGACTGGTCCTAAAGGAGTGAAACAGCTATATGATATAGCATCACTGACTGGTCCTAAAGGCGTGAAACAGCTATATGATATAGCATCACTGACTGGTCCTAAAGGAGTGAAACAGCTATATGATATAACATCACTGACTGGTCCTAAAGGAGTGAAACAGCTATATGATATAGTATTACTGCCTGGTCCTAAAGGAGTGAAACAGCTATATGATATAGTATTACTGCCTGGTCCTAAAGGAGTGAAACAGCTATATGATATAGCATCACTGACTGGTCCTAAAGGAATTAAACAGCTGTATGATATAGCATAACTGTCTAGTCCTAAAGGAGTGAAACAGCTATATGATATAGCATCACTGACTGGTCCTAAAGGAGTGAAACAGCTATATGATATAGCATCACTGACTGGTCCTAAAGGAGTGAAACAGCTATATGATATAGCACCACTGACTGGTCCTAAAGGAGTTAAACAGCTATATGATATAGCACCACTGACTGGTCCTAAAGGAGTTAAACAGCTGTATGATATAGCACCACTGACTGGTCCTAAAGGAGTTAAACAGCTATATGATATAGCATCACTGACTGGTCCTAAAGGAGTTAAACCGCTATATGATATAGCATCACTGACTGGTCCTAAAGGAATTAAACCGCTATATGATATAGCATCACTGATTGGTCCTAAAGGAGTGAAACAGCTATATGATATAGCATCACTGACTGGTCCTAAAGGAGTGAAACAGCTATATGATATAGCATCACTGACTGGTCCTAAAGGAGTGAAACAGCTATATGATATAGCATCACTGACTGGTCCTAAAGGAGTGAAACAGCTGTATGATATAGCATCACTGACTGGTCCTAAAGGAGTGAAACAGCTATATGATATAGTATTACTGACTGGTCCTAAAGGAGTGAAACAGCTATATGATATAGTATTACTGCCTGGTCCTAAAGGAGTGAAACAGCTATATGATATAGCATCACTGACTGGTCCTAAAGGAGTTAAACAGCTATATGATATAGCATCACTGACTGGTCTTATAGGAGTTAAACAGCTATATGATATAGCATCACTGACTGGTCTTATAGGAGTTAAACCGCTATATGATATAGCATCACTGACTGGTCCTAAAGGAGTTAAACCGCTATATGACATAGCATCACTGACTGGTCCTAAAGGAATTAAACCGCTATATGACATAGCATCACTGCCTGGTCCTAAAGGAGTTAAACAGCTGTATGATATAGCATCACTGACTGGTCCTAGAGGAGTTAAACAGCTGTATGATATAGTCTTATCATTTGGATATGTGATAATATAGCCAATTCTAAATTTGTATGGAAATGTGTTTTGTTTTATCTTCTGTACCGCATGAAATATTGTGAACTAACGAAATACAGAGGTTTTTATAGTTGATGAAGGATATTGAGAAGAAACAATGAGCATTAACATTGAACTTTACTAAGAAGCCTAAACAAATTCAAAGTGACCAGTTTCTGCTGAAGAATGTTTTAAATGAATGTCGAAAAAAGTTTTAAATAGATTTTTCTGTATGGATGAAGGGACATAACTCTTGCACAGCACTTTTGATTTCGAAAAGAGTGCGACAAATATTCTTTCTGGGAAATAAACTTAGGTCGTAAGGCAATCCATCTAGACCTTGAAACAACGATTATCAGCACTGACAACTTAAAAATCACGAAATTGGACAATACAGCAAAAGAGGCAAGATAAGATATGAATTATACCAAAGACACGGAAGGGAATAATACCTTTCACCACAACATTATAATTAGGATACAGCTGAGCCAGTTCGTCAGTGATGTCAAGGACCTCAAATTTCAAATCGTTTCAGGTGGCAAATGAAGAGAATTAAAGTTGGCAGAAATGTTAAAATTAAAATGGGAAGCTTCACTAACTTTTGATTAGATAAAGTTGGTAATTTTCAGGTATCTGATGATTTGAGAGGAACGTCAAGTACATGTGTATATTCTCAAGTGAACTGAGGCGCTAATCGAATGAACTAAAACGTAACATGCAGGTTACAACAACAATAACAACAAAATAAGTAGAATTATTGTAAAGTTACAGGTAATTTAGCTCACCTTTCCTTTAAATCGTTTGACATCGGTAGGCTTCAGCCGATGAAAGTCGCTGACTGCTTTTTTGAAGTTCCCTCGTCTGTCGTACTGGCGTGTGATTCTACCTGCACTCCTGGAAATCTTTGCCCGGGAGACTGCTCTAAATAAACCACGCCCTAATGCGAACGCCCCACGAGCAGCCAGTGGTATCCATCTCTTTGCCCTTCCTCCTGATGTGGCGTTTTCCAGAATACGTTTACCAACCTCGATGTCTGAAGAAGAATAAAACAATTAATTATATAAGAATTGAACAGGAGATGACTTCACATAGCGAAAAGTGATAAGGTGAATACTACACCAGCATAACTTTGTCTTAACACTGACAATCGCAAAAAATACAAAGGAATATCAATTCTTTGATCAGCAATTTTAAATTGATGAATTTATTTTCTACAAAATTAAAAAAAATTGCACTGAGATTAAATGTGCATTTAAATGAAAATTTTATATGTCTATTTATTTGTTTATCTTGTTTATTTATTTTGCAATTAGCTATTTTGGCTTTTTAATTTTTTTTACACCACACTGATTGTCAAAATATATGGACATAGATATATTGATGTGTGTGGTTAGTCTGACCATAAATACAAAATAAATAAACAAAGTTTAAGTGTAGTTGAAAAGTGAAATTCGATACTAAAACTAAGTAAATCGTGCTACGGTTCATGTTGTCTAATTTACAGTTCATATTAGCTATTATCATTATTTCATTATTCAATGTAACAACCTAGATTGCAGAGTGTCCCGCTCAGAATTAACACGAGTCATATACATAAACAATAAAAACGAAAAAAAGTTAAATATGAAACTAGTGTTTTATCATTTCAAAGATTGACATAACGGTTCACCCCTAAATAGTGTAAAATATAACTCGAATGTATAGGTTTGGTCAAAACTTTAGAATAAAAAATAAAATGTTCGAAGTATTGATCTGCACGCGCTTGGAATGTGCATCTCGATACCAAATTGGAATGACTTTTAATAGAATGATAGATGTGTACAAAATCATAGTACATACGGCAGTATCGGTGTACTGTTGGCTCTGGTATACATAACATACTTTATATATGTTTCCTTATTAAGACAATCGTCCTTACCTAATTCCCCTAAAAACTTTTCGTCCAGCGCTGAGAGGAAACTTTCCAGGTCATCCTCGGACAAAGTACTGACATCAACACCTTCTATAACCAGGCTCTCAGAGGCTCCCTCTGAAGTGACAGCTTCAGTGGTACCCAATGTGGCTCCCTGGGCTAGGTGGGACGCATGTTGACACAAGACTATCACGACCAAAGCGATGTGTAAAGTCAACGCCATCTTCTAAATATCGGAAAACTTGTTCGGGAATGTGATCTGGTCTGGTCGTACTTTGTTGAATTCTCATATTGAACTTCGCCTTTTATAAAGATTCTACGCCAGGAATTTTACTTTCGATACATGTTTACGGAAAATACGTTCCCTTTTTTTTGTTAGAAATCCCATGGAAATCCTGCTTGGGTAAAATTGATGTTAGTTATCGTAAACTCATTGTCTTCATATTTGATGGTTTTCCCTAACCCTGTCATTCTGTGATAGATGTGCGGTTGTTCGGCAGATTTATCCTCAACAGGACTAACACGATATACATGTAACAATACGCACACCAGACAGGTAAAATATGTTAAACATATGTCAAATATAATGAATTAGCAGAGGTGACAGTGGCGTTAAAGCGACACATTCGCTCAAGTCTTATTTATAAATTAGATACAGCAGAATTAAAACATAAACAGCAAGTCGTATGTAGTGCAACGATAATCTTGTCCCAAATCATATATGTTAACACTGACTGAGTAACTTTAAACTAACTAAAGATAAATACTTAATAGAATTGAATGTAATTCCATCATTGGTTTTTAATAAAGTTGAATTTCTGTACTAAAATTTAAGTCACTTTTCCGAAGACAAACAGCAAACAAACATGCAAATAGCTTCAATAATATTATTGTGAAAGCATGTGTTCACTTTTTATTTCAGAGTGAAAATGGAAATCTGACGCAAGTATAGAATAAAAAATATGCCTATTGAACGGAGAACACAAATTTATACCTTTTATACCTACTCTTTTTTAAGTTTTTCATGCCACAAGTAAAATTTTGAAATTAAAGTAATAAATAATATGAGATGTTTTCCATTTCTATTCAAACGATCTTGATATTTCCGTATGTGTCGGATGACACTAGCTGATCAACATTGTAAACTATTTGTGTTAAATTTTGATCCTTTTGTCTTATGGTTAGGGTTGTTGATAAAATGGGACACAGAGAAATCAAAGGTAAAGAATGGGCGGGGAGGGTCAGGTAAGGGGTGGAGGAAAGGGGTGAGGGAAAGGGTGGGAGATGGGGGAAGGAAGGAGAGAGTGGATATATATTGAAAATTGTGTTCTCAAGTGCTTTGTGGTGGTGTGGTGAGAGCGACGGGAGTGGGGGCGAGTACAAATGAATACTGGACTCAGAATACCCCGGATGCCTTTCCACACAATGGTATTGATGGGTAACCATTTCCTGTCATTAATAACAATTATCAGTCCACTTATGTGCATTTTTATGATTTTTTTCTTTTTATTTTCATTCATTATAGCAATAATAGGAAAAATGTGAGCCGTGTGTCGGATGGTGGAAAGACGGAGGAAGAAATGAACAGAAACAGGAACGAATATATATATTACTGTATACCTCAATAGAAAAGAAATAATTAAGTATAATTAGCGATAAGTATATTTTGTCTATTGCGGGGATTTCACCTCGAATCTTCACATGATAATATGTCTACGTTTATACCTGAATTCCTTCACGCGGTATTTTTATATTGTCAATTCAAAGGTAAATTGTTTTGAGGGTCGTGTTAAGACTAGCAGGTATTTTTCTCTGTCGCATTTCTACAATAACTTATCACAAATATATTTTCCGTATACATCTACAGACCATCACTTCTCCACTGTACACATTTATCTCGCTTTTACAACCTCATGACTTTCTCAAAGTCTAACTCGTAGTTCCGAGAGAAATCAACTGGCACTAATTGATTTCTCTCAACAAATTCCGAAACAATATTTTACGTAATATCAAAATACATGATTGATCAATTAATTTAACGAACATAAGACATATAAACTATATAAAAATTAGGTTTTGTTAGGGAAGGCCCGCAGCGGTGTAATGGAAAGTCAACGAGTGCAAATTCCTGAGTAAGATACATACATTAATTTCAATACGTAAGTAGGTTTTACCTCCATTATTCATTGCGTGTGTGTTTTCTATCTTTGACGTTTATATTTTTCTTCGTTCGTATTAAAATGCGCATTAACTGGAAAATAATATTACGCCTTTCTAAGAACTGACCAACTCAGAGAAAACATCTCACAGAAAAATAGACAAAAACATGCTACAAGCAGGCAGAGGTTATGTAAAGGAGTCGTAGGTCCTGCATATGTTATACGTTAGGACCATGGACCAGTAGAAATTATACGTTAGGACCATGGACCAGTAGAGGTTATACATTAGGACCATGGACCAGTAGAGGTTATACGTTAGGACCATGGACCAATAGAGGTTATACATTATGACCATGGACCAGTAGAAACTGTACGTTAGGACCATGGACCAGTAGAAATTTTACGTTAGGACCATTGACCAGTAAGGGTTATACGTTAGGACCATGGACCAGTAGAGGTTAAGCATAGGGACCTTAGATCCAGTACAGTCTATATGTTAGGACCAGGAACCAGTAGAGGTTAAGCGTAGGGGTCGTAGGACTAGTAGTCTATAAGTTAGGGCCATGGACAGTAGAGGTTATGCATCCAGTACAGTCTATATGTTAGGGGGGGGGGGGCCATGGACAGTAGAGGTTATGCATAGGGGGGGGGGGGGCTTACTTAGGCATTAAGGCCGTAGGTCCAGTAAGGCTTTGCATAGGGGCCCTAGGACCAGACGGTGTTGTGCTAGGACCAGTATAGGCCCTATAATAAGGCCAGGGACTAGAAGATGTTGTACATGGGGGTCGTGGGACTAGAAGAGGTTAAGTGTCGGAGACATGAGACAGGTAGGTGTTACATGGACTTTGACTCAGTATATACTATACAGTGGTGATGACATCAATGTAGCTATTCCTAGTAATCTTCGGCTTACTCCGTTTACATTTTATTATTATTTTGTAAATGTTTAAATGCATAAATTCCATTTGCCACTTCATGGTAAAATAAGTTGATATCCGCCGCCAATGATGATTGACAGCACATTATATAATACAACAGACATGTTTACCACTGCTGACGTCATGTCTCAATATCGCAGCGCCAGAGCCCCAGAACATCACACAGTGGTCATTCTGACATTATGTAATAGGGAAATCAATTTGATGTTTTAAACTTCATAATTTTTTGTAACACATCTGTCATCTTATTTATTACAGAACCCGTTGTTTACATCGCTGAAGTTTAATACGTATTAGTTAATGCCCATGCACAACTTCCGTGTATAACGCAGCTAAAGGCGGTCAGAAAAAACTTATCTTTTTGTACCCGGATTCTGTTTTGGGCGTATAACCAAAAATGTTTTGACTGGATAATATTCGTTTTGTTCTGAGGAGTAATGGAGCTCAGATAACCAATGTCAACAATGCGCCATAACTGTATGTTATTTAATAGGTATAACTTTATTTGAAAGCTGCACACTGTACATGGTAAATATGTTGTATACATGTTTAAATAATTGAAGTTTCATAGCTGTTCTTTCTATTTCAGTTGGATTTTTTTGGACTTGTATAAGAAACCATAATGGAAAATCGTAACGTTGGGGTTTCCAGCAATGCTTATCTCCCATAGAGGTCGACTTAAAGAGGTCGGTCTAAAGATGTTTTCACCCATCGAGAACATTCTCCGATACACTGCTTTGTGCCATCATAGTCGGTTCCATTGGTTTTACATTTTATGCAAATTGATCAATGACGCACTTGCCTAATATCTAATTACGTAATTTAATTACTAAACTATGAACGCCTATTGTCACAAAACAGATATAGTATACTTAATTATTTTAACGATATAGGAAAGTTCGAACCATAAACTTAATTCCAAAATATTAAAATAGTAAGTATACCGCCGATATTATTAATTTCTTAAGCATTTTTTTTTTAGAAAAACGTCATTTTTTGTGAACAAATGACAATTTAAATGTCATCCATATTCAGTCCATTAAAAGTTATTTAGTATATAGGTAGCTTTATCTCTTACCCTAACCCTGACCAAAGATCGAAACATCACCATTTGTGCAAAGTGTTGACATTTGGCTTTTATGTGTATCTCTTCAATGACTTGTTTAATGATAGTGGACATAGGAGACCACCCTGTTACACTTCAAACCTTCATGTACACATGTACCTTTCCTAACATATAACAACCCCTCGCACGCATACAAGTAATGCCGATATGTCCTTGAAAGACTGTCTGTCAGTTGTAATTAGGACGTTAAATGCAATATATTATTTATATGACCGATAGTTACTATACAAACATTCCAGTAATATATTATATATTTCATATACGCTAATATCATCAATTGTTCTCTTACTTTCTACATTTTCTTTAAGACGGAGACTTTAAACACATTATGCAGTATCATTCCCACAATGAGAAGTAGATGTGTAGGTGTGAGTTGTCTTTAGGAGAGACATTAAGAACAGGAAATCTGCTAGAAATATAAGACTTCCCCAGCACAATTGGTTGTTTGATATCTTAAAAGCAGATGGTAATAACTTTACTGATGATGAAGAGATTGGTATGTGTAATAAATGTTTTAAGAATTATCAATAAAGAAAGTAACAACATAAATGTCAAAACATCGGTGTTGATGACGATACCTGGCGAAATATCGCAATGTTTTCCATAGAGGGTCTATCTTATGAACAGTCTTCGCACACTATGTATGGAGAGTTCCAATCAAAACTCGACCATATTGCATACAAGCGTGTAAAACAACAACTCATCTTTCATTACAAGCAGTGGTGTCCTTGGTCCTCATGTATTTGTTCACATCAACTCATAAGGAAAGATCTCAGCACTAACGTTGATATCCGCACTCATGAAAGAGAAATGCGATGCGTATTGTAAAACCTGGACTGGTTGGACAAGAACACATTTTCTAACATTTCTTTCATAGTGTTCATCTTTTGTTGGCAAACCACGAGGATGCACAATTGTTCTGGGTAAAAAATAAAGACGAACATAGCATGGAAACAGAGTTCAGCTCTTTTTCTAGCATATCGAAAAAAATTCATACCAT